TAAATGAGGTTCTGGCTTTTTTTCCTCCTACTATTACACAGCTGAAGCCGTGTAGATCCATGTGTTTGTGCCATGGGAATCCAATCCCTTCCCTCTGCAGAGAAACCATAACCTCAGCATCCCCGTGTTTGCCACAGAAACACCCCATCTTCTGCAGGGACAAACTTTAAAACTTCAAGCAAGCCCATGGAAGAAGCTTTAGCCAGGGAAGGAGTAAGCACCATGCGGATCCAGCAAGGGTTAAAACTTCACTAACTTCTCCAGTTCTTCCATCACATCCACTGAGAGACCAAAATGGGTCTCTCTTGGTGGATCTTTTCCCCTCCACACACATTGTACAGTCTTAATTATCTAACAAACTGCATTCAGAGATGACTCTGGATGTTTTCGCAATGACTTAGGAGAATTTACATGCCACACTTTGAGTTTCAAAACTTCTGATGTGGTTGAAGAAAAGTGAGTGAAATGAGAAAAACAACTTTGGGCAATTTCCAAGCACACACACAATCCTTGGTTAAATACTAGGGTTGGGGTGTCCTGAATTAAATTGTGTCCCTTAAGAAACCAAAGCAGATTTCAAAGCCCTGATGACTTTGCAGCAAATATCTCTGAAAGCAAATCAAAATGATGATCCAGAGGTTATTATTTCTTTTTCTTGATTAAAAATATGCTGGAAGGCATATTCCCGGACACTGCCCAACGGCTGTTCCCTGGGGCAGCGTGCAAGGGCTGAGCAGCGAAGAGCGATGTATCGCCCTTTGGGACTAAAAAGACCCATGGCTCCCTGTTGAAAGTGCAAGAGGAATTTAGGTAAGGAAAATATCATTATTTGTGTTGGCCGGTGGCCAGGGTGCTGAGGCTAAGACCCTGATCCTAACGAAGAGTGGAAAGGAATCCCAAGCCTGCTGTTTAATATGCATGACATGTTGGCTTTGCTGTCAACTTCGCCTTCCACCCTCTGCTTTTGTCTGCTTTTTCCACCTGTTGCAACTTGTCCTTATTCAGGCTGAGAGATGGAATCGTCTTAATTCCATGTCGCATCGTGTCTGGCCCAATGACGCCCTGATCCTCGACTGCTCTTATTGAGACACTAAAGTGATCATGAACAGCAATAATACTGCATAACCCATCAAGATTTTCCTTTTCACATACATATATACATATATATATTTTTTTAATTTTGATGCTATAGTTGTGGGTCCCCGAACTAGAAATCAAACATGGAGGAGATTTTCATCTCAGGGCTGCATGGCTAACCATCAGGTTTTAAGTGAAGTGTTCTTGAAGATAAGAAAAATATGCGATCAGAAACAATAAAAATAATGCAATTCAATCTTATCAATTCAGGCAGTTCCAGCTTTTATGTGGCAAACAAGGAGATCAAATTGCATTTATCTAATGTCACAGATTTTTTAAATGTCTAAAATATTTAATTATTTTGCTTTGGCAACCTAAAGCTGAGGAACAGATTACTGTTCCCACTACATAAGGAAATAACTGACAACAATTAGTATTTATTCTTGTTGCTTTTGTAATAAAAATAGAATTCCATCACTTTCAAGGGAACCTAAAATATTAATAAGAATGTGATGAACTGAGTAAGTGTGACGCCATAAGGAAATGATGGAGAACAGGTTGGAAATACAGTGCTTTGGGAATGGATTGCATTTTCAAGCTCGTGATTGTGCATTTTGACAAGAGCAGCCCTCAGATTGATACGGCAGCCAAAGGGCACTCTTCCTACTGCAAAGCCATTTGTTTCCATCCAGAAAAGAGGGAGCAGAAAGGGAATTGATCCCCTCCGACAATCGATAGTAACTCCAGCCCAGGCTCTTCCACAGGAGGTCACTCAGGAGTGACAATATTCCAGCTGATGGCCAAAACTCAAACCACAAAGTGACCATGGACTGAAAAAACAACCCTGAGCTTAGTGGAGAGCGTGGACTTGGCTTCATTGCCCACAACATGACTGTCCTGACAGCTCCTCTAGTCCATACACACAGTAAGGTCTCTTGGTTTTTGGAGAAATGAATGATTTCTGGGAATTTTGCAATGCACAGAACCTCTCCCTGCCTCCCGCGTGCTGTGGCAGCATCTCTACTTTCAGCCTAACCCAGGTGCCTGGTTTCATGGGTTACAAAACCAACATGGCAGACCACCTACCAGCAGACCCAATTATAACTGGTACTAATTAAGAAGATTTTTGGCAAACTTGTGAGAAAAAAAAAAACAAAAAAACAGTCTGAATGATAACAAAATTACTTGGAAATATGAAGTCTGCAGTAATTTTAAAAATTATCTGTTTAGAACACCACTTATTCACACAAAAAGGAGTAGTGCTGGAAGCCAGTTTCCTTGCACCAAATGTATACATCTCCTAATGGGGGGGACTGTTAGGGTGAAAAACATGTTTTTTCTGACCCTGCATTAGCTGTGTAAATTAAAACAGTGAAATAGTTGGCATCATAAAATAAAAAGTAATCTCTTTCCATGTATTTGAGAGCAGGATCACAGTTTTACGTATTTTGGTACCATTCCCCAAGGCCATCCTTGGTTTCTTCCCAGATCAAGAAAACTTCAGTTAGAGCATGAGTTGAATCCAAACTGGATGAGAAGCTACTGAAAAGCTGCGTGACCAAGACGACGGACACTCCATGAACTTTGGAAATTGAGCCTGTCAGCTTGAGCCCAATTTTCAATGAAATCAGTGTCCACAGCTCAAAAAGCATAACTGAGAATTACCATTTGTCCTTGTAGTGTAAGCAGAAGCAATTAGGATTAAACATAAAAAACAAATTCCAGCTACTAAGTCTCTAGGGGCAATCTCCCCAGTTTTAAATTAAAGAGTAAATTACTGGAATACTTTGCTTAGAATATACCTGCCCTTCATATACTTGTGCTGCTGAAAAAACCCAACAATACAGTAGAACCACATCTAAAACTGGACATTTTTTTTGCAGCCCTTAAAATGTAGAGAGGCTAGAAACAAGTGAGTCTGAACTGTCAGAATATTTCATTAGAGCTTGTCGTGGGTGCTGGTGGCCTGCTAACACACATCAGTGGCTCGTCTTCTGTGTTAAACTGGAGGAGTTTTTAAGCCATCTTTTGAAAAATCTCCTTTGTTTGGATTTGGCATTGGCAGCAGTCAATAATATAAGAGCACTATAAAAATTATAAAATCGTTTAACTTTGTAAGAACTTTCTAAACACACTTGCAGATATTGCACATATCTTCTCTGGGCTCCGCAGTCAAACTGGACAATGAAACGACCACCTGTTAACTGCTAACAATGTGTCATTACCAGTTCTCATGCCTTTTTAAAGCAATTTTGGCTCTAGCTGCCGATAATTCTGGCTACGATACTTGTGTGAACATTAAGGGCACAGAAAGCCAAAGGCAGAAAACTGACAATACAGTTTGTGCTTAGACTACTAATAAGTAAGTGAATAATATGATTTTTCTAATTCCACATAATTACTTGATCTCAAGGGGCCAAAAAAAAAAAAAAAGAAAAAAGTTCTGAATACATATTTTCGAAGCAATCCAATTTATAGTGTTTAAATGCAAGCTTCAGTTCGGTGAGATTTCACAGCAGATATTTTCATCTTTTGGAATAGTTTAAACAGCCTTTAACAAAACAGAGGTTACTCAGGATTCTCTAAGGTTTGTAAAGAAATGTAGACTAAGTCTCTGTCACTGCTCGTACTCACTTTTTCTGTTTTGTCTGACAAATTAGCATTTAAAGATATGTGAGAAGTCTAAATAAATAAATAAAAATTCCCCGAGTGCTGAGACAGTTTCTGGGCACTTTGGTATTAGCTACAGAAAGAGCAGAATCAGACCCTCAAAACTTACCATGCTCTCCGTCTTATTTTTCTGCCTCTGAGAACTGCAGCGTAATACACAGTACAAAGATATTGGGGCAATTTTTCACCAGCTACAGTCAGGCTACTTTATATTTTATAACAGAAAGAAAAAACCTTAAAAAAATATCTCCACGATAATAGGAAAACAAAAACAACAAAAAGCTTTTCTCTGCAAAAAGAGACTATTTAATGAATCTCTGCATTTGTGTGTGTCCGCGCGCACACACGTGTGCATATATTTATGATCATGTGGATAATTATCATTAAAAATAGCTATGTTGGGGCTTTTTCATGCCACTCTTTTCTTACCATCGAAGGCTTTGATCCTGCACTGAAACGCGTGCAGGCAAATCCCTACACAGCACTCTGGTACCTATAGGTATCTCGTACCAGTGTGCGAGACTAACGCTGTCACGGTTCTTACGTGAGAAGCCGTGTGTGAATCTCCTGCCAAACAAAGAAGAAAAATAAAGATTCAGGAGAGAGGGTGAAATTAAAAAAAAATAAAAATGCTGAGTGAGTGATTCAGGGTCACCATCAGCTCCTGCCTCGACTGCCCACAGTATCATGAGCATCTCAGCACAAACTGGGAAAGTCTCATCCCTGCTAGTTTTAGATCACTTTCTTTTCTAATCACACTGACAAAAAAATCAACCTCGATCCCTGGAATTTACTTTCTATAAAATTGTAGCTATATCACTGATTGTTGGCTACAGAGGATATGTCAGGTCCTTCAGCAATTCAGTGTGTAAATAGACAACAGGCAAAATTACTCTGGCAATTTGAGGTATTTTACTAAAATGGAAACAAAGCAACTGCAACAGACCATTAGCATAGGACTCATGTTGCTTATTTTTAAAAATAAATGGCTTGAATAAATGTCTTTGCTGCTAAACAAATTCATTTTGCTTAGGAGAGAATGTCACCCTTTAAAAGTGCAGAGCTAGTAACTGTCTGTACTTAAATGCAAGTTATGTATATCAGCACAGAACACATTCAGCTTTAAAATCCTCAGTGATCTTCCTTACATTCTGTATGTAATAAAAATTATCTTACCCTGTAATGGCACAGTTATTTAAAAAAGGAAAGAAGAAAATTTAAAAAAAAAAAAAAGAAAAGCAAAAAAGGCTTACTTAAAGATTTTCTGTGTTCAGGCTTTGGTTCTTTGGATTCAGTGTCTAAGCTATTCAGTAATTCTATGCTGGAGGATCTTCTGAGTTTGAACTCCAAATTTCTCGATGTACAGCTCCGTTCTTTTGACTGGGAAAAAAAATAGATATAGATATACATATGTGTACGCTTTTAATAAAATTATTATTTGTAAGAACGAAGCAAGAGATTACAGAATGCCAGTACAGAATCAGAAGCTAACAGACACACACAGAGCAAGTGACGCAGCGAGTACATAATTTAAGGAAAGTGTAATACAAAATTTGTCATATGGCAGAGCTTTTATGGCCTTGACAGACTGATCTTAATTTCTGAGATAAATTCCCATTTGAGTGAGGAAAACAAAAGCCCTACTTCTTTAGGCTTTAGAGACCAAAATTATTTCCACATTGCAGGCTACTTCCAAAGGATTGCAAAGAGGACGGTCTTTTCAATTGCCTTTCTGCTTTAGATGGTTACAGAAAATGTTCTTGCAAACACAACTCTTTCAAACATCCTTATGAATTTGGGGTTGAATTCTCCTGGTCTAAGCTTAGGAAAGACAAAGGGGGCTTCCCCCTTGCTCTAATTCACTGGCATACAAAGTGACAATTAGGGACCGTTAACGGTCCTAATTCTTTAGGGGAAAAAAAAAGGAAAAAAAAATAAAAAGAAAAGAAAAAAGATGATATTTTGGCTAATCACACATCTCTTCCCATGTCATTAAGTCAGGTGAGATTTAGTTGTCCCAACAGCCTGGAAAGCTGCAAGGCATTACACCCTCATTCCAAGTTGTACAACTGAAATAAATGCCATGTAGGAAATGGTCACTGAGTGCTTGGCGGTGGCATCCTGTCCTGCGCACACAGCGAAGGCAAAACTTCGCCAGGACAAGCCCTGCCCTCCGCTACCCAAACCATTCACAAGTTGTGCCCCACCAGCTGCTGCTGCTGTGGTTCACGGCATGCTCAGAGCTGCTGATGCCACAATATTACCTTAGTTTCACTAAAAAAAAAAATACATATAATAAAGTCTCTTAGATATTTAGCTGAATAACTTGGAAAAAAAAAAAAAAAAAAAGAAAAAGTGTTTTGAGTCTCCATGGAAAACTCCACCCCAGAATCTTCAGAAGGATATCAGTACCCTCACACACCCAATGAAATGCACAATATGAAGACATACATCATCGGATCAAACTTTCCTTGGCTGATTATAGCCTCAGGGTAATATAATGTTTGTAGCTCTTTAAGGAAACAGTAGATGTGTTCAGATTAACCCTTTCAAAGAGGCTGCCTCTGCCCGCTCTGCCAATTCCACTGCAGCAAACCCTCTGAAAAAATGCAAGAAATGGTGATATTTTTCTCTCACCACCTTCTGCAGTGAACAAGGAAAGTCAGTGCCCTCTAAAAAAATGTATGTTCTTGGATCAGGCAGGGCTAGGAGAAAGACATTTGGAATTTGTACTGAGAGTGGCAAAAAAAGAAAGAAAAAACTACGGCTGAATCTGGTTTGGTAATTAAAAACTGTTTTAATAAAATGCAGCCCTGCTTACTTCTAGTAGAAAACCCCCAGCCTTCCTGGGAGAATAACAGCAATCAGTTACAAAGGAATATTATTTGCTAGTGTTATTTTTGTGAATAAGTAATACAAAAATTCATAAAAGGCTCAAATGTATTAATAGTTCTATTGAAGATTATATACTGTAGGCTGCATAAACAGAAAACGCAAAAAATTCATTAGTTATTAAGTGCTTGTGTGCTTTTACAACCCTCAGCAAACCAATGTCCTTGTTATTTCAGAGAAATAAATGTAGTGTTCCATTTTGAGGCAAGAATCAAATGACATTTTTGTTCAACAACCTTGTTTATCTGACATTTTTTAGGGAATTTGCATAAATGTTTTTAAATCCTTCAGAGAAAGGAATGTCTAGCTAGCTGCTGACTGCCTAAAACCTGTAGAGATGCCTAAGCAAATGAAGTTGAAATTGCTACATCTTAATTAATAAAGGTAACAGCCAAAACAAATACATACCAATCTGTCAATTGCATTTTTGATAGCGTGGAACCAATCCAATATGAGAAAGTCGATATCCGACTGGAGGAGGAACTCATTTCCTGACACTGTCGTGATCTGGGGAGGGCATAGGCACAGACAGGTAAGTAAAGCACACACCGGACAGATTATTTTCTTCTATTTTTCTCTCCTACGCACCCAAATGCTTTTCTTTTGTACAAAGAATTATCTCCTGGAGAGCTGAGTTACTGAGGAGTTTTGAACCTCTGTCTGAAAACTGTTTTGAATATGTCACAACAAACGAGATATTGTCTCAGCAATGCAACCACAGAACACAAATAGTGCAAAAAGAACGGGAACGTGACAAAAGTTGAGAAAAGCCAGGAAACTCGGTGTTACAAGACACAGTTCAAATGTAGAGCAAAACACCCTGAAAAGAAATAAAAGCAGCATGTAAATTAATTCATGTTCTCTTCAGTTTCTGTCTCTATTTTGGTATTATTATTTTTATATATGTTACTCCCATTCTTGAATTTACACATTTATTATATACCTGTGATTCCAGAGTACACTTCCAAGCATTTTGGTAAAATTAATAATGTTACTCTTTTTCAGATTAAAAAAAAAAAATTACCATCAAAGATGGCTGTAGCAGAGTAATTAGGATCCCATTTATCATGAAAAAAAAAAATCCCCAGTTTGTCTGAATAGAAGTCGATTTACATTTTTGACCCACTCACTGGGAATATTTATCAAAAGAATATTCATTCCCCTGATAATACTGTTTCACTGACTAACAATATTTGTTGGAAATATGCGTGCATATTCTCTTGGTCTGAACTTCTGGAAACCACCGTGATAATAATGATACATCACTTTTTCTTTTTTTTTTTTTATGTATATGTCTTCTCATCAGAGCAGATCCCTGAGTATTTCATACAGCAGGTTGAAACGACCATTTTACAGATGGTAAAACTGAGGCACAAGGCTGTGCAGTACTTTGTCCCAGGATTATTTGGTGGATCCTCGGTGCGTGTGGCCAAGGAGTAGCACCCAGGGCACAGCAGTTCTGCGTGTTTGCAGACAAGTGCATGGAGGGTTACATCTCCACCACGTTTTGCAAGGGGCAGGAACTTTTTTTTCCCTGTTGTTAAAAGTTAGTTATATAAAATTTGGTAGCATCCACATCTGGGCATTGCAGATGGTGGTTTCAGTGCTTTGGGGATGCAGGTTTAGTCTGCACATCGGGATTCTCTTTAGGGTAAGGATCAAAACTTTTTCATGTCTTTCTGGGAGAACAGAAACACAGTGGAAGACAGAGACTTCTTTTGGACCAAAGTGTGAGGAAAAGCAGAGCAAAGCCATTCAGACCTGGCACAGTCTAGTTAGTTAAATCCATCAACCCAAAGTGCTACTGTTTCACTGCATCTGCCCCATGTCAAGAGTTTTTACTAAAGCATAAAAGAAACAACAGATCCTCATGAGTCCGGGTACTCCCCGCATCTTTTTAAAACTGAAATACTACCAGGGGAAAAAAAAAAAAAAAAAAAAAAGAAAAACCAGATTAATATTTTATTAATTGTTCTATAACCCTCCTGTTATTGAGGAAATGCCTGTAAGGAAGGTTTCCAAAGTCATCAGCATTAAGGAAAATCCCATCAGCGCAGCTCCAGTGGAGATATCCCGTGAGAGCGCTGCAGAGAATGTGGGAATGGTCCCCCAGCGCGGGCTCGGAGGCTGCCCGCCTGCAGATGTGCATCCCAGCCCGTCCGCACCCATCAGGAGTGGACCTCCAGCCACCCCATTGTTCCCCACGCTCATGGAAGAGTTATTTATTGGGGAAATTTTAATTCCCTTGTTAGTCCACAGCCATAACGTTAATCACGACTCACACACTCACCGTTCCTTTTATCAAAAGAAAAAAAAAAGTCAAAATTCAACTTAAGGTGAGCAGCTGATAGAGCTGACCTTCAGTTCCATGCCTGCCTCACACCGCAAGGTTAGGGTTTGAAATGTATTGTATTATATCACAATTTATTAATGTATACATGCAGATAGGAATTAGACTAAACACAGGCAACAATTCAATCTAATGCTTCTCTCCCAGTATAAACAAATCATTATTAAAATTATAAAACGGAATAACATTTTCAAAGTAAGAGCAACATATATAATTAGATTTACTGTATTTTGAAGGCTTAAAAAGGACACAACATAGTTCAGTCTTCCGTTCAGTAAATTCAAGCTTTATTAAAATCCAAGTATTCAGCACTGCATAAACATTTGCACTGTATGATATGCAGAAGAGATACTCCATTGCTAACGAGACCAAAGCAAAATACATGTTGAAAGTTTCTTTATCTGAATGCGTTATTTTTGATAATCATATATTATCAGTGTTTTATGCACAAATCTGTAAAAACAGATCATAGAATGGAGGGAAGAGAATTCATTTAAAATACACTTTTTGTAAGATATAGTTCAAGTCCTTTTCTTTCTTTCCTCAGACTAATCTTCAGAGTAACTAGACAGTTTCAAGAAGACTGCTACTGCTCTCTACAGTTTAAATGCATCCACTCCTTAATTACAGTCAGTAATTGACTTTGTTCTGCTCCATTCCAGTCATTCACAGGAAAGCAGTTCCAAAGGCTTTGGCTGCTAAATCCCATTTAATGTGCAGGTTTCCTACCCCACTTTTCTATATTACCTCCTTAGGATTGCTGATAAATGGTTCTTGGAAGGGATTGCTAAACCATATTTGCACTTTGAACAATCGAATTTTCAACACCCTTGGGAAAAGACATCAGTAAAGAATGCTAGCTTTGACTAAACCTTGTGATTGAACAATTTATGATCACAGCCCTAAATGATGTATAACTAACAACAATGTTCAATATTAAGACGTGCTTACACACCGTCCCTTTATCCGACACTGCTGAAATAAACAGAGGGACCAGAGAAACAAATGAAAGACAAATCTGGAAAAAAAAAAAAAAGAAAAAAAAAGACCAAAAAGAAAATGAAGTGCTCTAGATAGAGCTGCCAGTCTCCATTGTGCCAGGTACTTCACTTATTTAAATATTTCCTGAAATCCCTCGCTCTTTGCCATCATTTTTGCAAAGGCTACAGTCTGGAATTAGCATTACCTTACCAGGCAGAATTATGATGCTGCTGTCAGCAATAAATCCCCATGAGGAATGACAACTGCCATTAACCCTCTTATTTGCAAAGGGTGTGCCCTTCAGGTTGCTTACAGCAGAGCCAGGGTGCCTGGGTTCTCTCTTTCTTGCTATAGTACCTTGGAAAAAATCATGTCAAAGGCTGAATCCACTCACATGGTAGTTTTACAACAAACTGTAGTACAGCCCTGCTGTTAAGCATTGATCCTCTGAAAATATCGGCTCACTGCAGGTAAATATATGTTCAGTTCAATCCACTGCTGGGCTGCCAGCAAAGTCTGGGAAGGGGAGGGGGCAGGTGTGAAACACTTTTTATGATATTCTGCTTGTGGCTTATTAACGATTTCTCTTGTCACCTTATAAAGCTGTAAATAGAGGGGTGAGCTTCTTTTGTGCATCACCATAATGATGTACCAAAGTTCTGTTCAACAAGATCCTATGTTGTTAAACAAAAGGATGCCTATAATGCTCCAGGAAATATAGGACATATATAGGATAGATATCTAATCAGTACCATTACCATTTCATAACAAATAAATATACCTTGGAACCTACCCAGGATCAGCAGTTCTTAAAAAACCTAAAAATGACTTATTTTTCCTGTGCTGGGTCATGCCATGCACAGCTATGTTCCTCCAGGACTTCCAAACCTTTACAGACCACCTGGATCATCTCAGAGATGATCAGGTCTCAGAGGATTATTCCCTTCCATGGTATACCTACACCAATGGAAAACAGGAGATAAAAGCCAGAAAAGCTGCATGGGACAAGCACAGGGTCTTCTGTCCATAGTCTTCCTGCAAACTTTTGTCTGGGGACTACCATACTGCTCAAAAAAAAAAAAAAAAGTGTCCTTCATGGTAGCCCTCTAGTTCTTTACCGACATACGTGTCTATAGATACGTTTGTTTCTTACATTTATTCTAGCTGCAGAACAGGAATGGAGGCAACTTTAGCAATCCTACTGATAGGCACTCTAAGGAGATATGGAAAAGGGCGATAAATTCACAGCGCAAAACAAAAACACAAAACCGTGCTATTGATTCACTCACTTCAAAGTGTACTTATGCATCTCTGGTGGCTATAACTATTATTTGCAGTGATGAACAATTTTCAGACAATGCCAAGAACAAACTTTAATACAGGAAGTGGAGAATCCTATGGGGAAGGAGAAATGCAGCAAAAGACCCTTCACAGTCTCTGCCCTGCAGCGAAAGGGAACAGAGCGAGCAGCTCGGGAAGCTTATGGCTCACGTATAGCTCACATATGGCCACCAAGAAACCACCGCACAGTTCTTATTTCAGCCAAGGACTGAAACAAGCTATTGTTTAACTCCCTGTGAATGTGGGACATTTTGGTATTTTCGTTTCGCTCTGTGAATTTATTTAATGTTGGACTATTGGGGTAAAGCTTCATGTAACCCTCCCCAATGGTTCCGCGTTGGATTATTGGACGCTTCTGGACCATGGAAAGCCCATTCAGATGCTAATCCAGTGCAGAATCCAGAGCAGAAAACCTAAATTTTGGTGTCACCTGGGACTCCCACAGCTTGTGGTGAACACTAAGTGATTTAAACTTGGATTGACAGATACCTCTGCATGCAGAAATTCAATAAAATGTGTTCCTCTTGTTGCACTGTGCATTGGGATTGCTGCCCTTGATATGTGTAGG